CACGGGGACACCTGGACAGGTCTCCAGTCCATCACGGGGACACCTGGACAGGTCTCCAGTCCATCACAGATAAATAATTCTAAATATATAAATATAAAAATAAACAGACTTCAGCCTACCATACATATTACATTAACCTTTAACTCAAAATAAAATACAGACTTTGCAGTTTTTTTAAACCATATTGCACCAACAGTTGCTCTATTTTCAAAACTTAACCTAATCTGAAATAGACAGACTTCACAGTCTTAAACATATTAATTCATATTTGGTAAATCTGTAACACATTTTCAAAACCTGTGCAAGTTTGCACCAAACTCTTCTGAACCATAAATTATATCATTTAGAACTGTCTCCAGGTGATGTCTCATCTCTTCCACCTGTTAAAAAGACAACTTGCATTAAGTTTGAACAACTTGTCTATAAGTTTTAGTTTAATATGAGAAAAAACAGTTACGGTTCCTTTGATCTGCTGCTGCATCAGAGCTTCTCCCATTCGTTGTTTCATGGTGAAGTTGTGGAGCTGCTCATCACAGTTTTATTTATTTATTTTGTTGTTATTTTACAATACCAAACTGTGACCCTCGTGCAGAGGTTGGTATCATTCTGTGATCAAATGGAATTTAAAATAAACGTGTTGCACCCCTGACCTAAGAAAATAAGAATAACATCATGTATCAGACGGCATTAAAATGCCCTAAACTACCATCTTTATTACAAATAAGTCATTTTTACAGACCAATACTGTGCATCAAGGCAAAATTATATTAAAGTGCCATCCAACTCTAGTTTGTATGTTTTGTGTCCTTCATCCACAATCAAGCAAGTCTTCCATGTTTAAACCCAAGTTGACTCTACCATGAATGAGGCTCCTACTTTTGTATCGTTACCTCTCGAGACTTGTACGTGTCCTGGATTTAATGGAAGGAGAAAAATACCCAAGTTGTAAGTCCCTGTATCAGTAGTAGGGGTTGAACGAGTATATCATTTTTAAACTCGACATTAACAAAATAAAACCTGAGTAGAACTCGAGTATTTGATGATGTCATAGATCTCAAGATACAAAAATAAATAAGACAGCAAAAAAAGGTAAATATTTACAAACAAAAAGACCAACAAAACATTGGGAGTGTATATTATGCTCCTACCATTTATCATACTGCAAATAAGTCACAGGAAAAACTAAACCATTAGTTATTATTATTAAACTGAAAACGTGAAGAAACATGCAGCACGTCAACAACGAAACTTAAACCAAAACTGGTTCTGGTTCGGTGGATTGGACCCGGTGTTGCACCATACTCTGTGACCTGCAACAGTGCAACACCGCCCCCTACGGTCATACGGTGGTCACATAATATGACGTCACTACGGATACCCGACTTTACATTTTTAACCTCGATAGACGTCCTAGCAATCGATGTGTAGATTACTCGAGTACTCTGTTGATGCCCTAATCAGTAGTCTCCATGTAACCCCACCACTTCATGGGGAATCCAGTTTTAATCCCCAGAATTGTCCTGAATGGTTTCCCTCTTGTTGGCCACATCTCTCATTAGTCAGATTAGAACCACCGCCTAGTGATTTCTTCAAGGCTCGTTTTAAATCATTCTTTTTGATGCAGATTTAATTCAACTGTACATCTGATTGCTCAGTGCTCTGTTCAGAGAGATACACATGTGGTTTCTGCTATGGGTTTCTCTGTTAATTGCAGCATTTCACAGTAGTGCTGGCTTTGAAAGTCCCACCCCCCACCCCCCCATTCCTTACTCTGTTATGACGTTTGTTCAATAGTCAGGAAAGTTGCAAACTTCTGCAGAGGTAGCTTAAAATTGATCTAGGAAAGAGCAGTAACAAACATGCCATGGTTGTATACCTACCTACCTGGATTACTGAGCATGCATCAGGATATGTTGTATACCTTCCCTCGTTTAAACACAGGGATGCTGTTTTTTCTTTTTTCAGGAATGCAATTTTCATTAACCTGCACTCCAACTAATGAGGCTCGTATTTCCAGCTCGGTCTGTGTTTTTAATTCAGACCATGAGACAGTTATTTGCAATCGAAGCTCAACTCACTTCTGAGCTTTCCAACTCAACACAATAGTGAGTTTGACAGCTAAAGCAAATTAGCCCTGGCAGTGCACGTTTGATACCTTATTGGCAGGTTGCGCTCTGTAATTGCTTGCTTAGGTTTGCCACAAGGACACTGCTCTGTTCGAGTGTGTGTCCTGCACACACTCAGTCCTGAGCTCTCGCTAATCCATCACTTAAATGTCAAACTTCTCCCCACTCGGGGTCAGTCAAGTTGATTAGAGGTCCGGAGGTTTGTCTCTTACTGAACCTACTTTTTGAGGACTTTCCAACTCAAGGTTGATACTGGTGTTTTTCCAGCTTCACAACAACGAGGTCAAAGTTTAAATCAATGCATTTGATATATTATTGTTACCTTTCCTGGAGAAGAAGAAAAAATGACGTGAAATAATTTATATATTTATAAGGTAATTTATGTTCATTAGCTCGTTAGTAGCCAAAGGCATGTTGACCTAAATAAAGCAGACTGACTTGATAGCTGGAGCTGAGCAATGGCTGCCCACGAGGAGGAAAGGTTAGACCAAAGTAGGCCACATTGTCATATTAGAGTGAAGAACCAGGCCAGATAACGGGAAGGAAAGTCAGACAATAAGGAAGGAGATGGGGATGGGACCGCGCTGGGCCTTTTGGCCTTTCACTTGGAGAAGAAACAAGAGGACGAGCTGACCTAGATGATGAAGAAAGAAGCAAAAGACGAGAGGTGATCGTGGAAGGAAACCAGCCGACGGAGTGAATGGACATGTTTTCATTTTCAGGAGATTACAAGACTTTCACTGCGAGTGCAAAAGGATCATTTTAATCATTTGTTGAGGCCATTCTGTTTTATCAAACCGATTTAAATTATTGAAGTGAATAATTAAAGGAAAGTAAATAAAAACGTATTGGGTTATATTAAAAACGTTACTAGAACCTCCTTCTTCCACCTGCGTAATATCACTAACATTAGAAACATCTGATCTAAAGATGATGCAGAAAAACTGGTCCATGCATTTGTCACGTCTAGACTGGACTATTGCAATGGTTTATTATCTGGGTGTCCAAATACTTCTTTAAAACGTCTTCAGTTGATCCAAAATGCTGCTGCCAGAGTCTTAACTGGAGTTACTGGGAGAGATCATCTCTCTCCAGTTTTAGTTTCTCTCCATTGGCTCCCTGTCAAATCCAGAATATGATTCAAAATCTTACTTCTAACCTACAAAGCTCTCAACAACCTAGCTCCATCTTATATTACAGATCTTATTGTTCCATATTTTCCTGACAGAGCACTTCACTCTCAGACTGCAGGTTTACTCGTGGTTCCTAGAGTTTCCAAAAACAGAATGGGAGGAAGATCTTCCAGTTCTCAGGCTCCTCTCTTGTGGAACCAACTTCCAGTTTCTGTCCATGAGGCTGACACATTGTCCAGTTTTAAGACTTTCCTTTTTGATAAATCCTATAGTTAGGGTCGGCTTGTTATGCTGCTATAGACTTAGACTACTAGAGGACAAACTGACCTCAATTCCTTAAATGAATTGTTAAAACTGAATAGTTTTCATTTGATACTATTTTCTATCTTAACATGTGATTCTTGACCTGCCATTGTGTATCTGTTCTTACCAAACCCAGCCGGTCGAAGCAGATGGTCCTCTTGTCCTGATCCTGGTTCTGCTAAAGGTTTCTTCTTCATGAGGGAGTTTTTCTTTCCACTGTCGCCTTCATGCTTGTTCAAGATGACAGTTCAGTGATGGAGTTAAACTCAAAGCTGCTCCTCAGATCAATAATGTTCAATTATTGATTTATATTTGAATGTTTCTGTTCAGTCCCTGAGACGACTTGGTTGGTGCCATAT